AGTATTTTATTATTTATTTGTGTTATGCATTCCAGGCGCGTAGTCAGGGGGGGGGTGTTACAGGTGTAATAAAACCCCCCCCTCAGCCGTGGTATACTTAATATTTTTTTATCAAGATAAAGATGCATCATAAGCACGAATTATCTTAAATCGTGATTTACACTTATTTATCAAAATTAAGTATATTAGTTTATATTACGATATCAATTATGTAAAGCACTAAAGCCGGGATCTGGCATTAATAATTACTATTTTAGACCGTTCTGTGACGTTTTATCGATTACTCGTTTCATGCACGATTTAATATATCTTTTTATGCAGCGTGTAAGAAAACGTTTACAACTTCTTAATTATTGATTATTTGATTGTCATGGTGAAGTATCGTATATCTACGTGAAGTTATCAATTTTGTGTTTATAATTTTTTCAATTAATTTTGAATAACACCCCCCCCCCTTAGAAATTTCTAGCTATGCGCCTGATGCATTCAGCTTACGTTTTCAAAGAAAATAATTTTATTTTTAAAGACGTTATGTTATAAATTTATATTGTATAAGAATTATATACCATAAAAATCAAATAAATATATATTCAAATAATGTTTAACTTTTATATATGAGTATTTCATATATAACTTATTTACATTATTTATTTTCCATTCTCATTCTTTTTTTATTATTATTTAAAAATATTCCTTATGCCAGGTTTTCTGACCCTTTTAAGTTGATATCTAATACAATTACAGATATTACATCATATATATTACAGATCACACTCCATGCCATCAAATCTAAAATAATTACTCCTTGCAATTAGTACAGCTTATATTATAAAGTGTGCAGTAAACTGGTAGTCTTTTTGTGATAATATTGAACTGTCCCTTCCTATTCATTGCTCTTGATTGTATTTTAAATCTCTGTCATCCATAAAATCATCCAGATAATTTAATTATTTAAATGATTTAATTCTAATTTTACTTACGTGAAATATTTTTGTTTTGTTAAAATAGTAGATATATCTTAAACTTTATTACTTGTAGCTAATGATTTTAATAATATTCATTTTTTTAAGGACATGAAATTTTTGATATGTGAACAAAAGTATTTGGAATATTTAGAGGATGGTAAAGTTTTGGATGCATTACATGTGTTGCGTAATGAGTTGACACCTTTGCAACACAATATTGACAAAGTTCATATTCTTAGCAGGTTTGGACTATTTTAAATCTACAATTGTTTCATTGTTTGTATAATTAATTATTTTGTTTTATTTATTATGTATTCTTAAATGTCTGATCTTATTGTTTTAGCTATATGATGTGTAGTGGACGAGATGAATTAATGAAACGAGCAAATTGGGAAGGAAAAGGACATAAATCTAGAACTCTACTCATGGATATGATTCAACAATTTTTGCCTCCACATATTATGCTACCACCCAAAAGGTAAATATTTGCTTCAATATTATATAGTATGATTTCATTATTTATTGTTCACATGTTTGTGTATGTAAATTTAAAATCTATTTCTAGTGCTTTTTTATTAACCATTCAAAATAATGGTTTAAATGAATACACATGTTTTTAATAAAATATGAAATAAATTAATAAGTGTTTGAATTAAAACTATAAAAGTATACTACATTTCCAATTTCATAATTTCAGTTTACAATTTGAGCAAGGCATATTTTGGGTTTATAATTATTATATACGCATTAAAAAAAAAAATGTATCTGAATCTGTGATGAAATAGAACATATTTTCCAATCTTCAGCCTTGAGGGTTTTTCATTGTCTCTAGTAGTATTTTTGATCAAGTAAAATTTTCTTAAACGATTTGTCACTATATAATAGTATATTATATAACAATAATAACATAAACACAAATAATGGTCTCATTTTTATACYGTAGTATAACATTTTAGATTAAGAGGAGATTTAATATAAGATGATATTTTTATTTTATTTTTAAGGTGATTCATCACTATAAGATTAAATTTAAGGTTTACCTAAATATGTTTTTTTTTAAATTTTATTTATTTCATCAAAAAATGTTCTGTTATTACATTAAGAACAAATWAATTAACTTATACATGTGTATTTTATTACAATTTTGTTATATGCAATTGAATAATTTTCATTTATTTTAGGTTACATATGTTATTGACTCAGGCAGTAGAACTGCAGAGAAATCAATGCTTATTCCATAATACAACATTTGATGATTCCATTGAAACTGTTTCCTTACTTACTGACCATAAGTGTTCATTGTAAGTAATTCGTGTTTTAAAATTATATTATTATTTTGTAGTTGTATAAAGAAATTGTTTTTATTGCAGAGAACAAATTCCATGTGAAACCGTCCAAATACTGACTGAACATTGTGATGAAGTATGGTTCTGTCGGTTCTCGCCTAATGGAAAAAAATTAGCTACTGGTTCAAAAGATGCATCCATTATAATATATGACGTTGATCCAGTATGTTAATATAAAATAATTGCTTGTTACATCTTAACAATTTAATTTTTTCAGGAAACATTAACTGTAGAACAATCGATCACTTTAGATGGCCATTCATATGGAGTTAGTTACCTTTCATGGTCTCCAGATGGCGAACTTCTCATGGCTTGTGGCCCTGAAGACTGTCCCGACTTATGGGTGTGGAATGTTAGCACTGGTGTTTTGAGGTTAAAACTCTCACATTCATCAGATGATTCATTAACTGCCTGTTCTTGGCATAAAGATGGCCAAAAATTTGTCTGTGGGGGAATCCGAGGACAATTTTATCAATGTGTAACTATACATAAATAAATAATCAACGTACATGCATAATGTATTAAGAGTTTCAAAATAATTTCAACTAAATTATAAATAAATTTTAGGATTTGGAAGGTTCTGTATTAGATTCATGGGAAGGTGTTCGTGTAAATTGTCTTTGGTGTCGATCTGATGGAAAAACTGTTCTGGCAGCAGATACACGTCAACGAATTCGTTCATATAATTTTGATGAGCTAAGTGATCAAAATTTGTAAGTAAAGCAAAAAATTACATTTTGTTTGTCTGTTTAAATATGTATTATGTTTAAAATGTTTAAATAGAATACAAGAAGATCATCCTATAATGTCATTCACTGTTAATAAAACTGATCGTCTTGCACTCCTTAATGTTGTATCACAAGGTGTTCATTTATGGGATCTCCAAGATAAGTGTTTAGTTAGAAAATTTCAAGGAGTTACACAGGGCCATTTTTCTATACATAGTTGTTTTGGTGGTGTTAATCATGATTTTATCGCTAGTGGAAGTGAAGGTTTGATACTGTCATAAAATATCATTTATATGTGATAAAAATATAATTTTGTTATAGATAACAAAGTATATTTGTGGCATATTAAGCATGAACTACCAATAGCAACATTAACTGGTCATACACGAGCAGTTACATGTGTTAGTTGGAATCCTGTTTATCATCAAATGCTTGCATCAGTTTCGGATGATTGTACTGTTCGTATTTGGGGACCTGCTGCTAAATATCGTAAACAAAAACCTAATAAAAGTGGTAAGTTTTACATTGATGATTTACTTCGTAATTAAAATTGGTTTCATTTGTTAAAATAAATTAATAAACTAGTCAATGATATGTACAGGGTGATTATTTTATCATTGATCTTATAATATTTATGAATATTTAAATTATTTTAGAATTTTTTAAGGTAATATTAGATGGTATTCACTTGTAATTTTAAAATAACTGTACATTTATAATTTTGTGTTCAAAAAGATAATAGTTTTCATAAATTTATACATTGAACCATTATCCATAAATAAAAATTTTTAATTATAAAAGCTTAAGTAAATGAAGTAGAGAAATACCTCCACATTTTGATATACAATTCTGTTTTAGAGGAATAATCGACTAATGTCTTTGCTTAAAAACATGCAACATAGCTAATTTGTGGCACAAATATTGTGTTCTGCTGAACCTAAGGGGACTCACTGTCAAAAACCAGTTTTTTGCCTTTTTATCTAATCTAAAAAAATGATTAAAAATCATGAAATTAATGAAAGGTCAAAATTTTCAGCAAAAAACTATAGAATAGCTACATTAATTAAATATTACATTTTAAAAATATTCATTAGTCATAACCTATTTAATAATTCAAATCTTTTAATAAACCAAAGTACTAAGACGAATAATATTCTCAGCTTTCATTTCTAAGGCTATGTCAAACAGAATGCGTTATGATGCGTTTTAAAACGGTAAATGGCTCGTTGTAGTGGTGCTTTCACGTGCTTGAATAATGCGTCATTAAACGAATTACAAAATCACGCCATGTGAAAATAACGCTTTCTGTTTGACAGAGCCTTTATATTAAGCGTTTACTTAATTTAATATTGAAGTACCCACAAAATTGTTTCTGCTGAATGCTGCAATGTTGTAAGTTTGTGAGACAGATAACAAATACAGATACCTAATGTATCTTCTTATATTTTAGTCTTGGCACTTATAAATGTTATATTAGACTCTCAATAATAACAGACAACTGGTTAAATTCTAAAATAAGGTATTATTTTTAGCAGCAACRTGTAACTAACTTAATCAAAACAGTTTCTATTGAAAATATGAATACTCATTAAGAAACTCATACTAGCTGGATATTTATTAAGGTTATAAGCCATTTTTTATTATCTAGGCTCAGATTTTATAGTACAAATAATAATAACTAAAATTATGCTTTTAAAAAATAAAAGTTATTGATTTTAATAATTAATTTAAAATAAAAAATGGTTTTTATATTGTTTAACATATTTTGATAAAAAATAATTCATGTATATATTATAAATGTTACCGGAAATATTTACATTTAGGAAATGATAACAGTTCATAGGAAAGTTTAACAATTCCTAATAGCGTAAAAAAATGATATCATTGCCTAGTACATGTTATCATTTCCTAACGATATCAGGCAAAGATGCCATATATTTTTTTTAGATATTTTACTTTAATCTGCCTAATTTAAATATTACTTTTATCAAATATAATTATTAATTACCCTATTATTACCCTTATAAAGAATCAAACGTTGTCAAAAGTTTTTTTTTATCACTTTAAGTTGAGTAATTTAAGCTTTTTTGCATTTTTACAGATATGACTAGGTACACTTTTAATAAAATACATGAATGTTATGCATTATGCAAACATATTATGCGATACCCATGCAATAGYCATGACATTTTCCAATCAACCATTTTATTGATATCAGTAATTTACCACCTGATATTTTTAGAACCCGTACAATATTGATAGTAGTTGCAGTATAATGATTTTTAGCATGTCAGTATGTCACCATATCGTTCTAATAGTTATATTGTAAAGCCAGTCCACATGACTTGCAACATCATAACCACCAATGCTTTCGTGTAGAAAGCAATGCGTGATAACATTGCCTAATAAAATACAGAAATGATGACAATTCCTAGGCAATGATATCATTTTCTTCTACTACTAGGAATTATCATCATTTTCTAGGAATTGTCGTCATTTCCTAAGTTTTCAACATTTCTGGTAACATATACATTAAGCTATGTAAATTTTCTCCAACAAATATCAAGCTTAAGCACATTTACCAACAGTTAACAAACTCATCAATAAAAACAAAATATAAATACAAACATTAATTGAAACTAAGTAAACTGATAAAATAATCATTGATTAGATAGTGTACAGCCATAATTTTCTACTATTTAGGTGGTGCTCTTAAAAATAACTTGCTACTAAATTTGTCCAATCATTTAATAATCATTAATCAACATTTTAAACTAGATTAAAATTTTAACTCAGAAACACAACACCTAAAATAAGAGTAAAAAGTCAAAATATGCCCTTTAAACCCTAAATTGATGAAATATGTCAGATAAAATTTTATACTTACTTTTATTGTGTCATTAAACTTACTTTTAATTATTTTGAATATTCTAAATAATATGTATTTGCTATAAAATCCAAGAGTTGGTTATGATACATATTAAATTTGTGAGAATATAATATCCTAAAAAGGTTAAAGAGAAAATGCCATCGTTTCTATTCATAAATTGACTAACTGGAAACTATGTTGGTATCTTCAGCCAAATTAATAGCCAGCTTGAGAACTTTTTAGAAATCAGGATTTAATCAATACATGTCTGTCCTATACTCCTATTCAAATGAAACATTTGACATAGTAATACATTTATTATTTTAAAATATCCACTTAAGTTCAATTTGTGATATATTCAACATTCATGTTTATTCTTCAAGACTATGATAAGAACAGAATTTACTGTAACATAAATTATAAATTAACTATTTTTTATAGTTAGCAATGATCCATAGTAAACAATATTTTGTATGCCACATTTTATGATAAATATTTACTTATTAATTACTGATATAAACTTATAAAATATAATGTTATTTTACTGAATATTATATTGTGATTATCAACTATTAATTACTATCCGTAGAATATAGATTAATTTATTATTAATCATTATAATATCATATTATATGAAAATTAATTATTAATGGAGAATTATTTTCTTAATGAATTTATCCATTATTTTGTATATGTTAATAATAATTTATTATAATTAAGATAATAATATTATGTTCTTTTTTTAATAGTCCAAAATAAACATTTAATATGAATACTTTTCATAACTTTTACATATTAGAAATATTGTGAATTATAGTTTATAGTTTTCCTCATTTATATAAACCAAATAGATCTCAAATAAAAARAATATTGTTTATTTTTAAAGAATATTTGGTTTTATATTTTCTCACTCTTAAATCAGTTGATAAAACCTGTTTTAAAATGTATACATTTTTTTTTTTCATGCAGATATAAACAACGATTCTGGGTCACCTTCCAAACATATGTAAAAAAAAAAATTAATGAGACTATTTGAAAACAAATATTGTATAGTATATTTTGTTTTGCCATTAATAAACTTTATAATTTAAAATTCTTTTTATATATATTTATTTCATTTAACATCTGTTTTCTTCATATTCTTTTACTTCAAAAATAAGTTTATAGAACACAATGTTAAAAAAATGGTTGCATAATATTACATATAGTGTGTATGAATTGCTATAACAAATAAAGTATAATAAAATAGCAAAATTAAAAATTTGTAAATATTTTTATTTGCAAAATTTCTAGAGTTTAAGATGTGTATTTACAATACTTATTTCATATAATTTTAAATAGTTTGTTATACCAATAGTTTACTTTATTCATTTTTCTAATACATTTTAATGTTTAAGCAATTTGATTTACATTATAAAATATTATGTATTATGTATTTGCCTTTCGAGCTAGTATCGATTTTTAAAAATAATAAATTATGTATAAAAATTTTAACAATATGTGCATGTCTTTTTTTTACACCAATATTTTAGTGTTTTTATATCTYTCCTGTATTTTACAATACCTGCATTAATAAAATATTACTTTCTAAAGATGTTTAAAATCTTATACTAAATCCATTGAACTCCTTCCTCGCCAAATATTCAAAGTTCATTAGATCACATCGCTCAATTTTACTTCCAGGACTTCCTTCGTTTGACAACCATGCGATCCTATAATGAAATATTATTGTTTGTATATACATCTCTTAATGATATATAATTTTACTGATTTAACATAAGTATGTCTACTTAAAAATTATTTGGAATTTTCATATTATTTAGTTTGAGAGCATGTTTAATTTATAAGGCCCCAAAATATTATAAGACCAGGGCCCCATACAACCTTAAGACGGCTCTGCATATGGGCAAACATCACCATAGTACAGTGACATATTATTATAATAAAGCATACTGTAAAACTAATGGAACATGATCTATAATAAACCCCAAACTATTTTATCCAGGTTGCAGGTAGCAAGGTTGTTTAATGTGCACAAAGAAGAGGAGGCATATTTGTCACAATGTCGTGTCTAGTGAGCTCACAATTATATGACTGAAATGCATTCAAAAATAAAAATACCATATTCTTAAGAACATAATATGCTATCAGAAAAATGAACCCAATGTATGTTGAAAACAAAAAAAAAAAAACACTCGTCAAAACAAGGACTGATTCTAGATTTTGGTGCATGGACGTTAACTATTTAGTAAATTTAAAATAATTGATTTGTATTATAAAGTATCAAAAAATAAAAACTGTTCTTATCTAATTATAATATTAAATTTGCTTTTCTAGTATACAATTTTTTTAATTTTGTTGCCTTGTTGGTAAATTGTTTTACAAAAAACTTGTTTAACATTTTTATTCTGAGTGGAGCTACGAATATATTGGTTTTATATAAAGAAAGAATTTGTTATGAATTTGAATTAGTGATTCCTAAAAAATCTATAAGATCCCTTTGTGAGCTCGATTTTGGAGTATGAAGCTATTGTGTGGTATCTAGATACCTCTTGCAGTATGAATCTAAAATTTAACCTGTTCAATGCAAGTTTCTTAAATTTTGTAACGTATAAATTAATAATTGATCATCTATCCCAAGACTGTTTTCTGGTTATACTTGGCTTAAAAAGTTAATTTAACTTTTCTGAGATACATTTGATATGTTTATATTGATTCTTCTACATTTTTAAGACAAATTAATTTATCTTAAAAGATCCAACCTTTCATGCCTTTCTCACGTATTTGTGTTTTACATATACCTTTATGGCTTTAAACTTTAAAGGCAACACTAACTATTAAAAAAAAAAAAACACAATAGATAACATAAATTAACTCTATTAGTTTAAATGTTTAGTATGTATTAACTTACAATCCTGTATTGGATATATCCCTTAATGTAATTAAATAAATTATAAATAATGATTTTTTTTTGTATGTAATGGTTGATTGATTCTGAATAAATTTAWATTTTTGAAATTTTCAATGGGGTTTCTAGAAACAATTGTGATCTAGTTGAAGGATCAAAAATAAAAAATATTGTATACATTTTCAAAAATAATCAGGAAAACGAAAAAGCAGTTACTAAAAACAAATATTTACCCAAAACTAGTAATTTAAAAATGTATATTGTTTTTGTTTTAATCAAAAATAAGTAATTGTTGAGACTTGAAATTTTCACCATCTATTTATATAAGTATTTTTTAAACATGGTATTATTTCAAATTAATTTTTTAAAATAAAATTTACTGTAAAGCCTTATTAATAAATTTTTAATGTTGAAATTTTAGTCAAAAACTCAATTTATTATACAATTCAAATTTAACACATCTAAAAAGATCAGCTACTCGATGATACACACAACACATAAAACTTACTATAAAGTAGAGTTGCCTGTTAATTTCACTACTATCATATAAATATATATTAAAAATTAAAAAATTTAATTTGTTGGGTCTGATGTCTTAACTCAACGTCATACATTATTATAAATTAATAAATGCCAACAGCTACTCGCAAAATCTCGTAGATATAAATTTTCGAAAAAAAAATGTTTTTGGATGTACTGTGAATTTTGATATCAAAAATATCAATTTTTTTTACAAAAGTTGTATTTTTTACAATAACAAAAACTCATAACTATAAGATCAATGTCTATTTAAAATAGCATTTTGTTTCTCCTGTAAAATTTGGAAAAATCAACTACGAGATATTGCCATGTACCTAGCGGTGTATACATTATTCTATGATGTATAAAATTAAACTTTTTTAGCTTAAATTAATTTAATGTTTAAAAAGTAATGTTTTAGGTATTGCTATACAGGTGTGTTAGGTGTGCCCAGTATAAGTAAGCACGTGAAAATATCAACAATTCAATTTGTATTATWCAGATAGTAGTGACAGTATAACTTACATTTCTTCAACATTTGCTTTTGGTCCTTGCATTTTGCCCATTATAGTACCTCTTTTACTGTTTTTTACCCATCCAACAATATCGAGTTCAGCACTTCGGTCTCTGCAATATTTGGTGAAGTAAACGCCTAAATAACAAAAATAAAATAATAAACATGCATTTATTAAATTCAATCTTTTGTACTTTATTATTTTAACCATAAGAAACTCTACATATTAATTAATTTATATAAAATTAAATAGTAAATCATTGTATTATACTATTATTAAAATTAAATATGAACTTTTTGTAATAATAAATTATTGCTAATATGTTACATTTTTTTTTTATAAATATATTTGTGAAACAATTTATATTTCTACTAATTCTAATAGTAATATAATATGTAACCAACAGAAACTATTTAGATAAAGAAAAAAAAATTTTTTTTGTGAATTGAAAAAAAATCATTTTTAACTACCTTTTTGTTACCAGAAAAATAAGCTGAAACCCTCCATGTCTCAAGAAATCTATTGATATAATTACTACTTAAAATAGTTCAACTATTTAAAAAAAATTAAATTACTAATGAAAATAGATATTAGTTTGTATAAAATAACACTTACAGAAATATTCTGTTGCGTAGAAAGTGTCGTTTTGATCTGATTAACCAAATTGAAAAGATATGAAATTATAATAGTATCAATTTTACCACATGTACCTAAATCATTTTAGTTTTCAAAACATAAGTTAATTACTAAATAATTCATATTTACTCTAATGATATTTGGCTATAGCTCCTAAAAATATCATGTGCCAACTTAGAAACATTGTTCTTTTTTCACATTTTGGAGATTTTCAGTTAGTTAATTATACATAATGAGAGAGAACGTTTATTTATAAGCTCAAGAATATAATAAAGTACCTATTAATAATAATATTTTTTTATTATTAGGTTGTACTGTTTGTATTGTTCTAAACTCTAGTCTCTATTCTCTTGGAATATTATTTATTGTCAGTTCTAAATTTATTTCAGTAGATAGGACCTAATTATATTATTCCTTAGATTTGTTGTTTTTAATATGTTTTGTATCTGTTATTTGTGGGCAATTTCTTAAAATCCCAATGTATAAATTATTTTTTTTATTTTTAAATTTTATAAGTTTTCAAAGTACAAGAGCGACATACATAATTTTATGTTTTTGGTATATAGCTCTATTTTATAACTTATTGTAAAGCACCTATGAAAAGTTATGTTATACTGTTATAGAGGTATAGTGTTAAGTTTTAAAGCAATTATAATTTCTTTATAATTATAATTGCATTCAAAAAACCTTTATATTGAGGAAAGGAATTTAATTTTGAATTGTTTGTAAAAATCAGCTTATTTGTTCCATGTTTTTTCAATCACGGAACAATAGATACCTAACTACAACTTAATTTTGAATATTTCACAATAATTCCATCAAAATAACATGAAATAAAGCACCATTAATATATCCATATTCTATATGAAACATGATTTTAAACTAAGCAACTATATTTTGCTTGTATGGTATTCAGCATAGTTTTTTCTGCCAATTTTTTTAAAAATTTATTGACATTAGACATTATTACAATTTCGGTTTCTAACATATTTAAGTAAAATAAAGGTAATATTATCACCAGTGCGGATTAATTTTCCAAAGATGGGTGTTAGGAACAATTTGGAGACCTATTATCTAATACTTCAATATAATTTTCTTCCATAAATAAAAGTTTCCAAAACATCCATCTATCTATGTTGGTATATTGATAAAGTTTATTAAGTATACCTGCCTAATTATTGTATAAAGTACTCTTTTTGCAAGTTGCTACATGTATATTATAAAACTAATGAGTATAATATAAACTATAAGTTATTAGTACGATTTAGAAATATTTACACCAAATTATTRATTTTTTAATTATAAAAGTGATTAATGAAATAATAAATTCAAATAACTTGATATTTATGAGATTACTATTACATTTATAATCATCCAATTTTTTAAACTATTTAAAGTTATAGAATTAATTTGTAATTATTTGTCTGATTACACTTAACAAGTTTTATTTAATTCAAATATTTAATAAGTGTAAMTAATTAATAACAGATTGTTTTTTAAAATATTTTAGAGCCATTATGATTAGGTACGTATCTATAGTGTCCGTCAAGTTGTAAATTGTGCGGTTTTTTTTATAAATTACCTACGTGGATTAATTGAAGAGGTATAACGTCATATGAGTTTTTATAGTATTTTCCAATGCTGCCACGAGACCCAAATTTGATTCTSTGTGAATCTTTTTACATTATCACGAGAATCACTACCTATCTACCTATTATTATACCTACTTTTATTAAATGTTACTCAATATATTGGTTCTCATTTATCGGTTTCTTCTCATTTAAATGTATCATTTACATATTTTATACTACCGATATTTTTTTATATGAATAGTGAAAACCGAAAATTATTACTATTTCTAACACATACTTAAACATATCTAACCAAAATATTAAAAATATATTTCAATATTTTATACCTTAGCATGGAAAACAAAATTTTTAAATAATTGTTTACTGTCATCAAGATCTAGTTGAGATCAAAAACTGTTAAAAATAAGATAAAAAACTATTTACCTTGTACTTTTCCGTATACTTCAAATTCGACCGAGACGTATGAATGACCTGACTCTAGAAGTGCCATGGTGCATGCCAAAACACGAACTAAGTCTCTGTCAAACGTTTTCTCGATATATTTTCTCTTACCTACCACTTCTATTTTTGACAAGTGATCTATATTAAGCAACACAGATGTTTACCATGTCAATTTCAACTCACCTTGAGCTCCCGAAAATTTCTTAATACGCTTGAAATTCGGTGCCTAAAAATGTTGTACATATTTAAAAGTAGTAGATACATAAACATATATAACTTATAATGTAAACGTAATGCGGAACTAGAAACATTCCGTAAGCCAAGGGTTAAATAATATTACACAATAGTAGGTTAGGTACCTACATATGCACGTATATCAATGTCTTTATTCCAGATCCACTTGACATGGTTAACACTTGTTTAATTAATATAATAGGTACCTATGTTAGATAAATGGGTGTGTGAAGTATAGACATTGAGATTCACACTTACCAAATTTTTTGATTTTAAGAGAGGGATTTATAAATCAATTTAAATTACAAAACAAAAGTCAAATTAGTTATGTGATGTGGAAAAGGAAATTATTAATAAATAACATAGGTAGGCATGTCAGTATGTGTCATAATATGATCCTACTGTTACATTGAAATAACAACTATTCATACCTACATATATATTTTACCAATATTATGGTTTATAATTTATACAATAATTAAAATAGATTTACCTAATGATTTACTTGAAACATATTTTTGGCATTAAGTCAAACAATCAAAGCAGTAAATCTAAATTAAATCGTAAATTCATTGACAATTTCTTAAACAATTGTTTTCGAAACGATTATTTCTTTCGGTGCCAAATTTTCGATAAACTATCTAAAATATTAGTTATTTCCTTACTTGTTTGATTACAAGAGTTATATTAGAAACCATAAGTTGCTTACGGTTATCATTTTGAAGCTCCTAGTCCAATTGAAGACATCAGCAAAAATAATATTTTATTACTTAAGTACTTATATTAACATAATATATAAGTCAATCTAAGAAATGTTATGTACTCATTAATATTAATAATGTCGTAAACTAATARCCTTARTTGTTGATGCTATACCAATAAAAAAAAATTATTTTTATTATATTAATATAATAAATCAACTACAGATGTATTATCAGAAAATTAAAAAAATTCATAATAATTTAAGATTGTAACAATAAAATTTTTTTTAAATTTAATTTGTTTAAAATGTTTGTATAAACTTATTATACGAGAGAAAGCCTCCGATTTTTTAGTAGGGTAATTTCTAGAACTAAATGTCTAAATTGGATCTAATTGATTAATGGGAAGGGGTAGGGGGTCAAAAGTAGCGGCATTTTTAATTTGTGCCCAAAAAAACTCCCAAAAAATATGTGCATGTAATTTGCACCACATCTAAAAATTAATTTTGGTAATTTGTGTCACTTTAAAATAACCAAACAATTTGTTTTAACAGATTAACATAGGTATTGTATTTTTAATAATCGATCAATTGAGTAATTGAGTTAATTCGAATATAGTTACATTTCTATTAGAACGTTAGATATTTAAAATGTACACAAGTAAAATAAATAATTCTATAAGAATACAATATACTTTATGTATATTAAATAAATACAATATTGTTTATTAATGAAACATATAAAAATCAGTCATAAAAAATAGATTATGAAAATAATTTAAAAAAATATACGCCGATGTTTAATAGATAATAAAAAAAAAWAATAATAATAATAATAGTAAATTCCAACAATCGAAGAAAGTGCGGCACAAATAACATACTCCATTTCGTTTTCTGTTGTGACTCAAATTACTAAAGTTAATTTTAGATGTGGCGGGAAATAATAGTAAATACCATATACCAAAAGTACAATATTCTCTATACTTTTCAAAATTATTGAGAAAACAAAAAAATCTAGCAAAACCAATGATAATACCTATTGTCGACAAAATCAATTTCAGATTTTGAGTGGCGCGATAAATGTATTGATTTTACAATGATGTGTGTTTTTTATTTTTTTGTGTGTTTATACAATATAACTAGGTAGTCGAACTAATGTTTTGATTTTCTACTACAGTATCTTTTCTGGTGTGAAATTGAATCTATTTGGTGCATTGAGGAGGTAAAAATTTGAAATCCCCAGTAGTTTCCAGAAGCACCAGAAAAAATTAAGGTAAAACAGGAATTGTTAAGCAAAATCGGTTTTTGACAAAATCATTTTTGGTTTTTAGCGAAAATCTAAAAAATAACCATATAAATACATGCAATTTTCATTGACTGTTTGTATTAGTATTTTATATACAATATACAATTTTCAAAATATTTTGAATCCCGTTGAGATATTCTTAGACATATGAAATTTTCGTTTATTATTAGTTTTTTTTCGATTAATATCCACAAAAAAAGGTTCGTTTTGTAAAAATACTTGAAAATATAATACAAGATTCCTCAAGTTTTTATAATTGAAATTAAATTTGAGTATAAAACCGCAATAATTTTTTAAGTGTATTGTGCGTCTGAAGTTCGAACTTCGACAAAATACGCAGAAATCACAACAATTTAGAAATTATTTTAAATTTAAAATTCATAAAATTTTTTCTATTTATATCTAAAATTTTAAAATGTAAAATAAAATTATTCAACAATTTGTCTATMTTTACATCAAACATAAAATGTATACCGAAAAGTCAAATACAATTTTTATGAACGTTTGAAGTTCAAATATATACAAAGTTGGATATTCAATCAATTTCTCATAGAACAATTTTCCTATTTAGTTTTAATTCAAAAACGAATAACTGTAAATACCTACTTTAAATTTGTACTAGATAATTATTTTATCATTTTCTATAGTCAAGAAAATTTTAAAAATCTTTATCTTTTAACGAAGTGATGAATGTATTGATTTTACAATGATGTGAGTGTTTTTTTTTTTTGTGTGTGTCTGTTTACTGCATAGTCGAAATAATGCTTCAATTTCAAACTTTGGGGGTGGTTTCC